TCTAACATACCATGTTCTTGAAGGCAACATTGGGGGTGCAATTTCAAAAACCAAAGTCGGTCGTGGCATGAAAGTGGTCTGATTTTGATGCAGAGATGATGGATTTTAAGTCTTAATACGCCAATCGTTAGAATTTTTTCTACGAATCTGTTAAAATTAAGACTTCACCAAAATGTCAATATTGAAAATTGCGCGAATGTGCAACTGTTGCTATGATAGTTAAAATAAGCACTGATTGCCTGTGAAAAGCGATTTCCCCAACACAGATTTCAAAGTTGAATTTCATCCGGTCTCACCAAACGGTATTTATTCAATCACCGCGTGGTGAGTGGTGGCGTTCTCCAGTACACAATGAAGTACACTATGTAGAAACAGAGAAAACCCCGCTCAAATTCATATTCCAACACAAAACACATGCTCCTGCTGCAGTTAACAAATAAGATTTATTATATAAGACCACGTAGTCCTACGTCACCATTGCGTACAACCCCACAGGACTGTCCCTTGTAGTTGTTTTCTTCTATCTCGTTATGGTGTAACTTATTTTGAATACTCCAGTTGATCTCACTTTGGTCAACTTAACGGTTAACACAGCAAAAATAAGAGCAAACTTTTACACTGTTGAATCAAACGGAAAACTAATCTTGCTTTCAATGAAAGCTATTTGATTTCTAATTTTGCATTCATAATGTTTAACAGAATACGGGCCTGGCGTAAATCGTTAGCATCCATACTTCTCACGCTGAAAGACTTGAGCTCAAATCTCACCCCGGGCAAGTAGCGAATGATCTAAAATGTGTAAAAAAAATAAACACTAATCGTTAGTTCAACGACAGATGGGTTTAAATTAATTTTTAAACAAGACGTAAACAGCAGAATTTCAATTTAAGTTGCTTTCATTTAAAAAGTCATGACTGCATAATGAAAGCACAATATGATATCAGACTAATTTCGTGACAGTTGAAATCAAAATGAGTTTTTATTATGATAGGAACTGCAAACTTTAATGTGGATTTGCTTTCATTTTGTTAACCAACTTTGCTCGAGAATAGTCTATAGTATGTTAGCCCTTACAAAGCTTCTGAAATGTTATTGAATACTTGGATATAGTAAACTAGACATTAATAATTTGGAATGCTATTGTCTACATCTGAAATTGGCCAAAGTGTATCCAATCAAATCCCAGAATTTTCTGTTTAGGGCCGATAGCAAAGGAGTGCGAATCGGATAAGAAATGGAAGCGTAAGGTTCAGCGAATCTAAACACATAAAGCAACCAACGATACAGACAAAACGGTTGCTACGACTACCATGACAAACTCGTTTTGTAACATAGCTCGATCCAAGTGCTAGAAGGATAATGATATATTGCTTGCCAGCTTTGTTGCAATATACACGGATGAGGACATACAGGGCGGACTCGATTATCCGGAGTCTTGAAAAAAATTTCACTCCGGATAATCAAGCCCTCCGGATAATCGAGCCATCAAAAAAAAATTTTTTTGTCTTATGTGGTCTCATTTAATGTTTTTAGTGGTCCCATTGAACGCTATTGAAGGATTATGGAATCGGACCTCTGGTTTTGTAGATATGGCCAGAACAAGTTCCGGCGTTTATGGGCCATGAGGCTAAATTTGACAAGGAACAAAACCCATTAAGCGACACATCAGATTATATCAAAATTCGATAACCAGATCAATGGTGGAAAAAATTAAGTACCTTGGACCATATTAGCCACTTCCGGGCAAGTTCCGGATGCCTCCGGAAAAGTGGCCAGAACCAGACTTGAATAATAACCTATCATGCGACACATCAGATTATATCAAAATTCGATAACCAGATCAATGGTGGAAAAAAATAAGTACCTTGGACCATTTGTCACTTCCGGACAAGTTCCAAGTGCCCCGGAAAAGTGACCAGAATCGAACTTGGATAATAACCTATCATGAGGCACATTAAAATACATCAAAATTCGATAAGAAGATCAATGGAATTGAACCCATGGACCATCCGCTTGAGAAGCGAACGTGTAGCCAACCACGCCATGGGACCCCTCAACTTGAGAAAAATCGTAGTCTCGCGACTCTCACGAGTGTGTAGAGACAAAGTTGAGCTTGGCTAAAAATCACGGCTACCGTGAAGGCACCATATTTGACGCAGTTCCTAACTTGACGTACTCGATCAATTTCGACCATTTTCCATTAATATTTTTGAAATATTAACATTGCAAATATGAGTTCCGGTGCTCTAGGGATGATAGTGTAACAATTCAAATGATGGTTGCTGATAAAGCGGCTGCAGGCGAAAATGAAGACGAGAATGCGGAATTCGATGTTGACATAGTCAATGCTGTTCTTAACCATGATTCACATTTTTATGAAGGAGAAAGCGTGACGAACACCACTCTGGATGAAACTGCAAACATTTCTACAGCAGATGACAACCAAGATGAGGAGTACGAACCAGTTCCAGATCAATCAGCGCTGAACAGTATTGACACTATCATCACATGGGCTGAGGAAAACCAATTGCCGTTGGAACGGCAGTTTTTACTTTGTGAAATCAGGGGAAATATTCTTGATAAAATAGTCAATAAGGATTGATTTATGATCAAATTTGCAATTCTCTTTGTTTTTACTGAATCACTTTATTGATGAACTACTGTTTTTACTGAAATGATGAATAAATGAATTGAACTACAAAATAAGATAAGAAAATTGATATAAATTATCAGGTATGAAGCCACCAAAAGACCAATTCTCACGAAACCCCCCTTTAACCCTCCGTTACTCGCGCCAACTTTTATAACACGAGTACTCGCGCTGTACTTTGTACAACAGTGTTAGTTTACCATTGCCATTTTGCAGCCGAGCTACCAATCGATATGAAACCAACGGGTATTCATTAAAAAACTTGTTTTTAACTAAGCAAGCTAAAATTTTATCACAGTTAACCCACAAAAATGCGAGGATCTCAAGATATATCACATGCGAGAATTTCACATGTATACTAGCGCTACGTAGTGAGAAAATTCTGAACTACTGTCCGCCAGTGACAAGGCTATGATCTCCTGAACAACTTTGTCAGAGACAGTAACTTTCTATCTTGTTAGAATCTTGATATATTCCATGTTGTAATCAATTAAGTCAAATCCCACGTAGTATGGTCACAGTTTTCGCAATTTCCATTTACATTTTCCCTATTATCCGCATTTTGTAGGTGTTTACTGTAATCAAAGTTTAGCTTGTTTAGATCAAAACAAGTTTTTTGGGGAATACTCGTTGGTTTCAGATCGATTGGTAACTCAGCAACAAAATCGCAATGAAAAACTCATGTGTGTTGTACAAAGTACAACAGCGCGAGCAACGGAGGGTTAAAGGCCCCTTGGTACATTTTTTTTACGAATCTTCAAAAATTTTGTTCAGTTGCCATTCCCCGCCCATCCCTCTGAAATTTGACATAACTAGGGAACGGACCATCATGGGATTCAGTTTTTGTATGTTGTTGTGGCACATGATATGTTTGATTCCTTTCAGGTCAAAGTTAATTCAAAACCCCTTAACGCCGGATTTTGTAACAAAGGCAAACAAACACTTAAATATAGTCATTTCCCGATCTTGTCAGACTGAGTCGAACGATGTACGTTACTCGTCCTCGGATCGAAAGTCGGTTTTCAAAGCGGTTTATGCAAAATAATTTGCAAGATAGGTAAAAAAAATATGACTCCGGATAATCGAGCCATTTTCTCCGGATAATCGAGCCCCGGATAATCGAGCCTCCGGTTAATCGAGCCTCCGGATAATCGAGTCCGGCCTGTATATCAAGCTATAGCTTGATATGAATCGAGAAAAGACATAACAAAAAAAATTCCATTAACACACGTGTATCATCTTCGGCTTTACTTCGTGAAGCAGCTTGCAAACAATTTGCTCGTTTCCTTCTACCGCCTACCGCCCCGAGTGAGTTGTGTCGCACGGGCTGCTTGTCATGAAAAAGAAGGAAGAAAATTATATCATTATTGCTTTCCTCTTCTGACATACCGTTATTATTCGGTTCGTTGATCGCTTGTCATTTTGTTATTTGGAGATATTTTTGATTCCTTGGTCAGGATAGAAAGCTGGACACAGACGACACACCGAACTGGTGAGCAGATCCTACCCACCATCACCTGCCTAAATAAAGGAAATCAATCAATCAACCATCACCACGACACCGACACGACACACTCCATTGAAAAATCTCGTTATTTTGCAAAATATCAACAATGACACTTTTTTTACAAAGAAGGGTATAGATATCACTTGAAAAACCGACTATCGATCCGAGGCCCGGAGGGCCGAGTGTCATGTACCATTCGACTCAGCTCGACGAGATCGAACATGTCTGTGTGTGTGTACGTGTGTATGTGTGTATGTGTGTGTGTATGTAACGAAATGAATGCGCTCACGTTTCTCAGCAACCGCTCAACCGATTTGGACAAACTTGAACGGTTTTGGAATCGGGGAACCGGTTCCGGAGATATGGCCGGAATAAGATCCGGTGAATATGGGCCTTCACGCTGGATTTAACGGAAAACGTATCAAAACCATCAAATTACTACAGAATTCAAAAATAAGATCAATGCAAGTCGTGTTAAGTGTTCCAGACCACATTGGACACACTTGGACATGTTCCGGGTACCCCGGGGAAGTTGCTTGCATATGAATTGAATTAAAACCCATTAAATCACATTGAAATACGATGATAAGGTGATTGGTAGCCTCACCAAATAGACTACACCCGGATATATTCCGGGTACCCCCAGGCAGTGGCGTAGCGTCACTGGATGACACGGGGGTGGGGGGCTTGGTCACTGATAATGACAATAAAATAAATAAACTTGAATAAGTAAGAAGGGTCTGATCACACCATAGGTGGATAAATTCGGGTTTTTTTTTTGAGAATGGTATTTGGTTTAGTATTATAGGATCGTACATATAACTTTTTTTATTTTCATTTCAGAAACCCTGAGGAGTTATTGGCCAACTTTCCGGAGGAAAAACTATCGTCACTGAATATCAAGATATCTAGTTCTCGATGGGTTGTGCCTGTGTTACCGAATCAGGAGTTGGAATGCCTGTTGAATGCAGCGATCCGTCTTACTCATGCAGGTATGGTGCGATTTGGAGCAATTATATTATTACAATGTGAAAACACGAAAATCTCGTTTGTTTTTAGTAGGTCCTATTTCCATTTGCCGATCACAGATTCGATAAACTTGATTCACTTTCTACCGCGACCTGAGCGACCTATTCTAAAACCAATCGAGAAATGTTTCTTAAATCGGTGAAAAATAAATGCCATCAGGATCAGTGCTGCAAAATCTCGACAATACACGATGGTATTGACAATTCTGCTCTCATTTCACTCATTTGAGCTAACCGTCAAGGCAAACCATGTCAATTGTCAATGACAATGCTGTCAGTGACGAACATTGTAGATTTTTTTTATTAACTAAATTTGTAACGAAATTAAATGACTTGAACTACACAATTACATGGAGCCGTTAAAGTGAACAAGCATCTACGTCCTGAACTGTGACAACAATAATGTGACACAGAATGCCTGAAATTACACTTTTTGTTACCAGGTGAATCTTATAGCGAATTCGTTTATTATTCAGTTCCAACCTGGATCGGGTATCAAGATTGGGTCTGCTTGTTTTTTGACAAACGTCAGTTTGCTCGTTTGTTTTTAAAACCTAGCTCAGGTTGAGGTTTGCACTGACAAAAAGTTCGGTTTCGCACTGGGTTGGAACTGGAAATAAACGAATTCGCTATTAGTCTTAGTCATTGACGAAAAAATGAATGAGATTTTGACGAAGGTTTTTTTTGACGATCAAGTCTGTCAGTGACTATGTGAAAAACAATTTTGTCAATATCGCGCGAAAGTCTGTCAATAACAATGACAAATCTCAGCACTGATCAGGATAGCTTATTGTCCATCCGGAAAAAAAGAAAGAACCTCAAACCATGCAAAAAAATAATGTTCTACACAATACCTCTTACAGTAGTCCGGAGATATTAAGGTTTTAAAGTTTGTGACCACCCTAGCGGCAATAACAATCCACTTTGCAATCAAGAACAAAATGTAAAATTTATCTAATAGAAGCATGCGCTATATCCACTGTCCATCGCAGCAGGGTTAGCAGATAGCAAAAAATATCATGTTTTAATACCTCCCGAAAAAAAATAACAACAAAAATACATTAAAAAACAATGTAACAATAAGACGAAAACTATTGTCTTAACAATGATTTATATTGTTACGTCTACAATAAATTTACCTTGATTTTTGTTGTACTAAACAGTAAATTTCATGGTAAATGGAAAATTTACAATAAAAAAGGGGGGTTGTTAAGTATCTTAACAATGAAATTTTCGAGATTTCCCCATATAATTTTTTTTCAATAACAGTATATTTTATTGTTATTTTACTGTTGGTTGGCGAATTTATTGATTAAAAAAAAATAACAGTGTACTTTAGAGTGTATGTGTTGGCTAGACAGATCTACTTTATCGACTTTGAAAAAATCAAAAAAAAATAAAATCGCCCCGGGAAGGGAAGGGCGTAAGTAAATCTGTTACGGGTGAGTCCTTTTTTTTACTGGTTTTGGATTGAGATTCGATCCGGAACTTGTGAGAAATGCAGGCCAACTCCCCTGCACTCGATCTCCCTAGGTCACGCCCCCTTGGTTGTTGAGCGTCGTTGATAAGTTAATACATTCGACTGGAGAGAATCGCCCATGAAATATGCTTCCACCTGAGAATTCCTTCCTGATATCTTCAAGTGGTGGATTTTTTTACTATTATTGTATGATTATTGACTGCACGGAAAAGGTCTGCATTAAGCGGGATTTAGATGAGGCAGGTGAGTTGAATTCAACTCAAACCGATCTGGTCGTAGGCGTTCAATTGACTTGGCAACGAATAGAGCAAGTCCGATATCAGTCAGCCAAACGAACTGTCAAAGCCAGATCCTTTACGGACAGCGCCTATCTTGATTACATTGGCAGTGTAGCTCAATGAGCTGTATTACCGAGGTGAAGCAATCGGTTAAGTTGTGTGAGTAAAACCCGTGTACGATACAAGCAATTAGTGACGTCACTACTTGCGTTTACGTTGATTTTTTGGTTTACTAATACAACCATATTTCACGATCTGCTTCACCTCTCTCTGTACCTCATTGAGTGTAGCTGACTCTCTCATAGTCTGCATGCTTCAATTAGATTTATTTTTATTGTTCGTGACGTAACCCACAATGAAAACACATCAATATTTAATGTAACGACAATTTTTATTGTAATAGAGTTGTTCATTATTGTTCATGGTCGAATCATGTTAACAATAAAATAAATGAAAAATACGATAAAAATCATTGTAACAACATTTTATTATGTACCTTCATTGTACATCTAGGTAGCACTTTTGCCGTTTTCGGAAGGGTATAACATTATAACAATCATTTTTATTGTCGACAATAAATATTAATGTTAGAGCATTGTTTCCACTGAAAATTTCACTGTAATTTTTTTTTTCGGGCTGTTACATATACTAAATTACTACGCAGACATTTTTATGTTTTTCAATATGATGCCAAAGTTATGCTAGGAAATGATCCCCCCTTGGCTAGTTTTTGCACCTTGTTGCGGGCTTAATTTAGTGGAGTGATATGAAAACGCATACATAGATTTGTTATCAGGAAAACATGATTTGTTATCTTTTAATATCCTTCATATGCCATTTAGATCTCATTTTTGTTATGATTACTGTTAACTCGACCACACGGTAGGCAAAATATGTTATCACGAACGCTTATATCAAAATATCAAACATAGTTTTCATTTTGTTTTTATTGTCTGCTTAAGGTGATTACCTCTCACCTTAGCAGGCCTAGGTTCAATCCCAGTCGGCGCCGCCGGGATGTTCTGACGCATAAAATCTCTGATCACGCCTTCCTTCGGACGGGAAGTAAATCCGGTTCATGAGTTGATGGGTCGTTGATGAAAACAAAGTGAAAACTTGTGATATTATGATATAAGCGTTCTTGACAGCATACGTGGATTTCGGAATTTACGTGGTTTTTTCCACGTATCTGCCCGCGTAAAAAGCGACTCCAGTGTATTTTGATATCCGACTTTGCTCGGGTAGGGTCCAGGTGTGGAAACTGCCTCCCTGGCGTCGGTAGCATTGGTACTCAGTACGGAAAACAAGATCGACGAAAAAAGTTGTCAGCTGCGCATACTTCTAGCTAAATTTGCCATTTAGTTGTTGATCGTTAAGTGGTTTGGCATTGCCGTTAAGGCGGTTCAAAGCAAGGGTATTCACAATCATCAAAACCTTAATATCTCCTTTATAAACAGGAATTGAGGTATAGTGTAGTAGAATATGTTTTCACGTAATTTAAGGTCCGCTTTCACTCTATTTTAGATTATTGTACCTACCTCGTTTGGCATAAAATCGTTGGGCATAAGGGGATTTTTTTTAATTATCGGACAAATTGGGCCGAAGGGTCTTCGATTTCTATGAAACTTTGCCCATAGGTAGAGTTCATAGATATATTAACAAAAGTGAATTTCAAAAAAAATCTCGCGTGCCAATTTTTCCGGAAAACCTTAGTACTGAGCACTAATGCTACCGACGCCAGGGAGGCAGCCCCCACACCTGAACCCTACCTATCTACCCATCAACTCGTGAACCGGGGACCAACGGCTTTACTTCCCTTCCGAAGGAAGACGTGATCTGAGATGTTATGCCTCAAAATATCCCGGTGGCGCCGACTGGGATTGAAACCAAGCCTGCTGGGATGAGAGGTAATCACGCTTACCACTACACCACCGGCGCCGCTACATGAAGGTTAAAGTAAAGTAAATCCACAAGAAAAGTTGTGGAAATTATCGTCTGTATCATGGGTTTTTTATCAAAAAAAAACGTTGTCATATTTGGGAATTTATTATCTTTTTCCGGTGAAAATTTAAAGATGGTATCTCATACCGTTTTTGAGATATGCCCGACAAACTGATGACCGGTCTAGCGCTCTTCTTTAAAAAAAAATCAAATTTTTCTTTCGGTTTAGTGTTATAGGATCGTACATATATCGTACGTGGAATTAGGAATTTACGCGGATTTCGAAATTCAAGGGGGTTTTTTTACGCGGCACGTATCCCCCGCGTAAAGAGCGACTCCAGTGTATTTTGATATCCGAATTTGCTCGAGTAGGGTCCAGGTGTAGAAAATGCCTTCTTGGCGTCGGTAGCATTGGTACTCAGTACGTAAAACAAGATAGACAAGACACAATTCTTGATCGCAAAGTAGTTTGGCATTGCCGTTAAGGCGGTTCAAAGCAAGGGTATTCACAATCATCTAAACCTTAATATCTCCTTTGTAAACAGGAATTGAGGTATAGTGTGTGGTAGAATAAGTTTTTACGTAATTTAAGGTCCGCTATCACCCTATTTTGAATTATTGTACCTACCACGTTTGGCCTACAATCGTTGCGCATAAGGGGATTTTTTTAATTATCGGACAAATTGGGCCAAAGGTCTTCGATTTCTATGAAACTTCGCCCATAGGTAGAGTTCATAGATATATTAACAAAAGTGAATTTCAAAAAAATCTGGGTTGCCATTTTTCCGGAAAACCCTAGTTAAAGTTTTCCGATTTTCGCGTACATCACTAATTAAAAAAAATCATAACTTTTGAACCAAGCATTGCACAGTCAAAGGCAAATAACAAAAAATACTTGAAATTTTACCAACTATTCATCAAAAATACAGTTGGAAATAAATTTCGCATTAATTTTTTTTTTTTCCTTGATTTGTTTTCCGTGCTGAGCACTAATGCTACCGACGCCAGGGAGGCAGCTCCCACACCTGGACCCTACCTATCGACACATCATCTCATGAACCGGGGACCAACGGGTTTACTTCCCCGTGATCAGAGATGTTATGCCTCAGAACATCCCGGCGGCGCCGACTGAGATTGAACCCAGGCCTGCTGGGGTTAGAGGTAATCACTTTTACCACTACATGAAGGTTTTCACTATTAAAGAAAATCCACAAGAAAAGCTGTGCAAATTATCGTCTGTATCATGGTTTTTTTTTATAAAAAAA